AAACATTATTTATTTCAGTAGTAAACTCACCATATTTCTTGTGATATAGGTTATATAGGTGATATTGAAAAAAACTCTGTACTTCTTTAATGTTTCTGACTAAACTATTTATTTTTACCTTGCTAGAATGACTAGGTGAGAAACAGGCACTAGTTGTTCTGTCTCCCAATTCTCTTTCATCTGGCTTCACCTTCCTTATTCTATAAACACTGTGCTGTTTAGTAATATAATCATATATCATACAGACACTAGGTTTTTCACTTGTAAAAACCACCTTCATACAACTATTGTTGAGTATCATTGAGTTTCCAGATTGATTCACAATCACTGGACATATGTCATCCAGAGGGTAATAAAGAGAGTAAAGAGTAGCCCTAGATTCATAAGAGGTCTCACTAGGAATGGCTGAAAATAATCTATCAAGCATTGGAATAAATAATTTGGTTTTGTTAACTCACAGTCATCATCTTTAGCAATGAATATTCCATATTTTGTGTTCCACAATTTGCTGATCCCAAATGGGACTGCAATTGAATAATCTTCACCTTTTGGAGTGAAAACTTTAATATTATGAGAATCATTGATACAAATAGCTTCTACTGGTGTCCCAGAGGGTTCATCAGATTTCACCAAATCAAGAAGGTTCTCTTCAAACACAGGGCATTCACTATAAAAGGTGCACCACAGAGCTTGTTTCACAGGTTGTTGGGAGGTATAACAGCAAATAGTCTTTCTGCCATTATCACGATCATCAGAGTTGAAGATACCTCTAGACCATATCACAGTGTGGCCTTTCACATAAAGCTCATCTTCCATGTACATTGGATCAGGTTTCCCTTTGAAGTCATTGTAGCCTGATTGTTTTGCTTTAGTACACTTTGATTTATAGATATCTGAGCTAGTTTTAGAATGATTCTTATTGTCACTATCAACTGATAGCCTCTTGTGAGCTGATTTTGAGGTACTAGCATCTGACAACCTTTTACCAAATTTGTTGATACTTGCATCTCCAGCACTCTTGAAACTTGAGGAGGAATTGTCAATACCATCACTGTATCGAGACTTGAATGTTTGAGGAGTATAACTCTTGTTTACTTCACATTTATCAGGTTCATTTGTATCTTGCTGTGGATGCTGAATGTTAGATACAATTTTGCGCAAAATCCACCATTCCTTATTTTGGGAATCTATGAGAGAGACTTTCTCCAATTTATTCAAAAGGAATTCGTCTGTTTCTAGTGGACTTTTGTTAACGTGGGGTTCCAGCGGGCCTGGGTGCCGTAATGCTTGCTGCCGGCCACTTGGAACATATTCCTAGAAAGGGGCAAGATGAAACAACATATTATTGAATATTAATTTTATATAAACCTGTGGATCTGAGGCAGCAATCATTATTTCTTCTTTTTCATCCAGATTTGCTACTATATTTAATAAAAACTCTTCAAAAATACTAATCTAGAACAAATTCAATTCAAATAATTAGTTTTCAGTTCATTTCATTTTCAAATTTCAGTTGTTGTTTTGATTTTTTATATTGTTGTTAACATGTCAACAATGTCAACTGTCAAACGAGGTTTATTTGGCAGATGTCAGTCAGATCAGATTAGCGATCTAAACCTGGTAGTGCACTAGTTTTGCACCGGTTCTGTACTTGCACTACGTTGGTTTTCTCCAAAACGTAAACTGGTGCATTCTCAAGGCTTGTTCGTTTGTGCTTGCTCTATCATTAGTTCTACCTGCTGAACTTGATTTTTCTTCTGTTTACATCATGTCATGAACATAGACAACTATGGGAAAAAATCAACATCAGCAAGTTCAGCAAGAGGCCTGCCAATGACGGCTAAATGGACTGTCTGACGGGTTATACATGACTGTTCATTCAGCGAAAATCTCCAAATCGCCCTGTAATGAAATTTTGAAGGGACGGCAAGTGGCGTCATCTATTTCCTGTGTCAAATGAGCTATTCAACATAACCTGCATTCATGATCCTGCATTATTTGTTGACAAATTTTCTTACTGTCAGCCTGTCACTCATTGTCACTCGAGATTGAAGAGCTTTGTTCGAGTTCGAGATACCAAGTAAAACTGTGAAAAGGCCAACAAAATGAAGTGGTTAGGAGTGTTCATGCCAAATAACGGTATTATATGCATACATAATGATGCCATTCAAGTGGAAATCATCTTCGTCAATAGGTAAGGACATGTTAAATTATTTCATTGATTGAATTTTTAACTGCCTAATAAGAGCCATGGTAGCCCTAATAACCAGATACTGCTGTATTCTCAAAGTGAAATGTACTGCATCATTTCATATTGTTTCACAAAGTCTGTGATCTCAAGTGATATCTCTTAATTTGTATTTTCAGGAAGATACACAATGTTGAAGCAGCTCTTCATGAGGTTTGATTGAATGATGACTGGAGACATTCAATTCTGATGATGCTATCTATGTATAACCAGAATATTTACTATGTAAGGTGAGCTTTGTGAACAATTGTTTAATTAGGTGAGGGTTCAGAAAAATAATCAGGCATTTTAACTACAATATCAAGGTATCTCCATGAATAGCAAATTAAATATCAATTTATCATTCCATACTTATATATTTTATATCAGATATACAGATAAATTGTATTGCAAAATTGATAGAACTATGCCAGCTTCAAAATCATTAAATGTTCTATAGCAACATTTCTTTATAGGTTCTGGGGATGGCAACACAATGAATATAAAACGGCTTGGATATGGGATCTTGACTTTGGAGGATGAAGCTAGGTTACCTGGAGATCCTGTGGACACTGAAAATAAAAGAGGAAGATGATATTATATTATTGTGTATCCCACAATTTCTATTATCTGTTGCAGAGAAGAAGCATGTTTTGAGTTCAGATATAAGCTCATCATCAGCTAATTTAATGGAAAAGGAAATTGATTATTATGGTGACTGTCTATGGAATGAAATTATTATATTACTTGAATAAATGCTTTCTATACATATCATCTATCTATCTATCAATCCATATTTTTCAACCATTTTCAAAACTTTGTGGAGACAGAAATAGTTATATGCATTTCAAAAGTTGAGTTTGCACTCTTTTCATCTTTTTAGATCAACTTGGGGGAGCTATAGTTAGTGGGCTATTATCAGTGACAACATTTTACCTTATTTCACATACCATCTCATCTCAAGAAAACAAGAAAGCTATACAGGATCTCATTGATAGATGGGCATACATAATACATAAACTTAGGCCAAATAATTAATTTAAATTTTTTGTGACAAAATCATCACAGCAGTGAAAAACATTTTTGAAAATCTCTGATAGTATCATTATTCTGTGATATTTGCCAGGTAGCAGGAACACAAAATACCTCAAATTGTAGTTGTGGCACTCGAAAAAACTCCAGATGTTGGCCTAGACTGATGATTCTCTGGGATTCAAAGAGCATACCTCAAATTCCATTCCTCTTTCATTCTTGGTGTTGCTTTTTGGGATGCCCATCCTGTAGGTATATGGTAATTTAAGTTTGAATACGTTGCATTGATGGCTTGAACCATCAGGCTCACATGAAACAGTTTTCAACAATACTACTCCTACCCTACCTAGCTATGCAACAACAATGCAGACAAAACATACTTTGAAAATTATGGTAAGCGATTCTTTCTGAATGAATGTCCCCATACTGATAAGTCGCCATATGTAGTGCTATTCTATTGATCATCACTCTATAATGTCTTCCGAAATCATTGACACAAACTTCAACACCAGTGTTCTAATGGTGGAATCAAGGCTGAAATTGAAAATCATCAGAAAAGTGTACATGAAAAATCATATTCTTACCAATGCCTTCCAAAATATAATTCGACCATTCTTGCTGTGGAGTTTATCACTGGGTATGAGATTCGAAAAAGCAAACCCCATATTTGATACGATTATTCATACATTTCATTTCATACGCTAGAAGGCTGTAAATACATGATGAAGATACAACTAGCAAACCTGAATAAATAAACTACCAGAACCAAACACAAAGAAGAATGCTTGATTGAATGAAACTCCGAAAAAGTAAAGGAATTTATCGATATTCAACAGAACACATCAGGGACCTGACAGTGACACAGTTTTGACACTTGATAATAATAATAATAATTCAATATAACCTATGTTATTGGAAAACAACCGAATTGACCTATCCAAGATGCTGTCAAACCATCTAAATCAATATGGCCGACTGTAGGCACACATACTTTCGTGTCGCAATATCTTTGTTATAGTGATCCAAGGATTATAAATATCCACTTTTATTCAAAACAGCCATTATCATTATTTGATATATCTACCCAAGATTATACCGCTGCTACTTAAATCGACAAAAAATATTTGTGTGCCTACAGGCGGCCATTAGAAATATGTCAAAACTCACGTGTTCTGGAATGCCTAATAAGAGCCAAACTAAGAGCCAAACAAATGACTTCTCCGCAAAGGACGGCAAGTAAACCCCTCTGGTGGAGAATACACTGAACTGAGTGATTGGACAGTCATGTAGTACTTGTCAGACAGTCCATTTAGCCGTCATTGGGCCTGCTCAAAACGTGAACTGGTGCATTCTCAAGGCCTGTTCGTTTGTGACCAGCTGAACTTAGACCTGTTCGTTTGTTGCTCTACCATTGGCTCTACCTGCTGAACTTGATTTCTTCCTCTGTTCACATCATGTCATGAACATAGACAACTATGGAAAAAAAATCAACATCAGCAAGTTCAGCAAGAAACCTGTTCGTTTATATTGCCGAACTAAACTTGCTGAAAGTAATTTTGTTCCTATAGTTGTCTCTGCTCACGGCATGATGTAAACAGAGAAAGTCTGTCCGTATGGCCGATGACGGCTAAATATCTAGATACCGTCAGAAAGTCCAGTAAATAGCCGTCATTGGTATGACGCGTGGTTGGCTTGGCACTAGATCACTGGATGGTATTAGCACGGTATTAGTTAGATAGAACTCGATAGAAGGAAGATAAAAGAGTCCGGACCAATACCATCCATGACCTAGTGCCAACCAGGTGCCATACCAATGACGGCTGAATATGTAGACTGTCTGACGGGTCGTTACATACACTCAGTACAGAACTCAACAGTTCCTTCAAATGTAACAAACATTGTCATTCGTTTACAATTCTTTTAGTTCGATTGGTTAACCTGGCGGAAAAAGTTTTATGCAGTGCTGCCAACCTATCCTTCATCCTTCATTATTAAGGTTACCTCGTGGTCGTGTCTTTTCCGTTCTAGGCTGTATCAAAAATGGCAACGACAATCTCAAAGAAACGTAAGTTCGTAGGAGACGGTGTCTTCAAAGCCGAATTGAACGAGTTCCTAACTAGAGAACTCTCAGAAGATGGGTACTCCGGTGTGGAAGTACGCGTTACTCCAACGCGTACCGAAATAATCATTATGGCAACAAGAACAGACAGGGTGTTGGGAGAAAAGAACCGCAGGATCCGTGAGTTGACGTCTGTAGTGCAAAAGCGATTCAACTTCCCAGAGAACTCCGTAGTTCTATACGGAGAAAAAGTAGCCAACCGTGGTCTTTGTGCCATCGCTCAGGCTGAATCATTGAGGTTCAAACTCATTGGAGGACTTGCTGTTCGAAGGGCCTGCTATGGAGTCCTAAGGTACATCATGGAGTGTGGAGCCAAAGGTAAAACACCGCATTTCAATCATTAACGAGATTCATAAGGCTTCCTTTATGTTTTTAGGCTGTGAAGTTGTGGTATCTGGAAAACTTCGTGGTCAGAGAGCAAAATCCATGAAGTTTGTAGATGGTCTCATGATCCATTCTGGAGACCCATGCAATGACTATGTAGACACTGCCACCCGCCATGTGTTGTTGAGGCAGGGAGTGTTAGGAATCAAGGTAAAGATCATGTTGCCATGGGACCCCAGTGGCAAGACTGGGCCTAAGAAGCCTCTTCCTGACAATGTCTCAGTTGTGGAGCCCAAGGAAGAAATTCTTCCTCTATTCCCTAGCAGTGAGATCAAGCCTGTTAAATCTGATGCACCTTTGGCCATTCCTGTAGCCTGATGTGTTGTTTTTAAGAAATTTGACTATTAAAAATGTAAAATTTCATTGGTGTTTCATTAGTGTTTTTCAACCATCATTCAAAGCCAACTGAAAAGTAATGCAGTTTTAGGTTTTCCACAAAGGTGGATAGATTTACTTGTTTTTTGTTTTTAACAATAGTATAAGTTTGATTATGGAAGCAAATACTGATTACCAATTAGTTTGAGATTGATTTTTACTAATATAAACACTAATTGTAGATTATACAAAGGACCCATTTGAGGTTAATTGGGTCCTGGTGGATTTTTCTCAATTTTTGGTATGATGTAGTTCATGTGGTTCTATGAAATATTTTCATTGAGCCAACCCCCAAAAATGGACAGTTTTTCTGCCAGGGGGTTTGAATTTGCATTTTGATCAAATTGACCATTCCTGAGAAAATGTAGGATATTCCAAAACTTTTTATTCCATTTAATTACTTCTAAAAATAGATACTTCATGAAAAAAATATAATGAGGGGGGGGGGAGATTATTACCCACACCCCTATTTTGAAAGCCGAAAAAAAAATTCCATCTAACTGTCAAAAGTGATAGGAAATGCTTCATCATGGATAATTGAGCTCTTTTCTACCTTGAACGAGAGAGAGAAAAGTTCTCTCCTCTTCCATCTTTCTCTTCAATGCTACCAACGTGGCCGCATTGAATAAGAGAGGTCCGATAAATCTTTCCTTGTCTAACCTCTAGTCTGCGCCACTGAACTATTTTCGATATTATAATGACGTGATATGTCTATGTCATGAATGTCATTGACTGATGACATTTCGAATTTTCAAAATGAAATTTTAATTTATATCATACTTATGTCGACATGATTTGTTAATATCGTTAAATTTGACACTCTGCTGAATTGAAAAATAGTTCAGCGGCACAAAGTAGACAAGGAAAGAATTATCGGACCTCTCTATATTTCAATGCGGCCACGTTGGTAGCATTGCAGAGAGAGATGGAAGAGGAGAGAAGTTTAATCTCTCTCTCGTTCAAGAAAGAAAAGAACCACAGCCAGCCACAGCCGTCCAGGCGCGTGCCTAGGGTAATTTCATGGGGGGGGGGGGGTAATCACCCATTTCAGGACCAATATTTCCTACGTTTTAAAAAGTTAAACTTCAGTAACACTGAGGCATTCATATTTAATTCTTAAAAAAAATTAACAAAATGTTCTTTAAAACAATAGCTCGAATATGAGAGAGTGTAAAAATAAATAAACAGAATATATTTCAAAATGAAAACAATAACTCGAAAATAAAAAAATGTATAACTAAAAATAAATAACAGAATAAATATTCTTCGAAACGAAAACAATAACTCGAATATAAAAGAATGTAAAAATAAATAAAGAGAATATCATTCAACACAAAAATAATAACTGAAAAATAAGTAAATGTGTAACTGAAAATAAATTAGCAGAATATTCTTCAAAACGAAAACAATAACTCAAAAATGAGAGAATGTACAACTAAAAATATATAAACATAACAAAACAGACAAAATAATAAAAACAGGTGACCTATAAATGATAAATGAATGGTATCAAATTGTAAATTCCATATTTCTTTGTTTTTTAGCACTAAATCTGTCAATGATATTATTTATATTAATTTTCATATCCCGATGTATATTCAGCAAGGCAAGTCCTGTTAAGGAATGTTCAAATTTTTTCATCATCATCGTGGTCATGGGGGGGGTAATTACCCCATTACCCCCCCCTCAGGCACGCGCCTGCAGCCGTCTTCAACTAACTGAAGACGGCTGTGAAAGAACTCAATTATGGAAACCGCATTTTTGCATTATTACCCCTCCACCAAATGGGGGGTGCAAATAATGAAAAAAAAACCGGTGGATTTCCCTGAATTTTTGATATGATCATTATGATTCTGATGATCAGAAAATCATCGATTCATCGGGTGACAAAATCCTAAAAAATGGTCAGTTTTTCTGCTATAGGGGGTTTCAATGCACATTTTAAACGTTTTAAAAAACATGACTACCATTCGATTCTGAATAGAAAGACAACTGTTTTCAATATTGTATTCCTATATTACATTCCTTCAAGTTTTTTCATTCGGAAATATTGGGAGTGTTCTCACCCCCCAATCACCTTTAAAAAAATCCGCGCTATACTGTTAGAAGCATATGAAAATGTTTATACACGTGGATATGGAAAAAGCATACTCACACTACATGAAAAAAAGTGTGAGAATTGTTGCAAAACTCGCCCTTTGCATTGGTCGAAATAATCGTTCGCATTAGTTTTTTGACGCCACTATAGATAGCGGCAACAGGACGTACTGGATCTAGACTGGCCTAGTTTTTTTATGTTCTCGTTCCCATGAAAAGAGATATACTGTAATGTTCAGAGAACATCGTGAGAACCAATAAGGGAAATAAGGTAAGAATAATTGGTGTTCTTCTTGAATTTCTGGAGGTTATATGCCTTGGGAAACACCTCCCTTGGCAATGTGTTCCAGAGTCTCGCTGTTCGTTGGCTGAACGAGTCTTTGGAAAGAGATGTTCTCCAGGTGTGAAGCATCAACTAGACGGGGTTAATCTCGCGGGGACTGCCAAGGGAGGAACAATTATTATTATTGTTGATATTTCAGAAGAGCATCATCCACGTAAATATCTATAAAATAGAGCCACATCGCCAACTTTTCTACGGTGTTCCAGAGAAGTGAGTGAGTTTGTGAGCGATGCATCATGTTTGGGGGCTGCACTCCAAATATGGGAACAGTATTCCAGGACAGGTCGGATCTGTGCCTTATAGATCATAAGCATCTGACTGGAAGTGAAATAGCTCCTGGCCCAAAACAGAAAACCAAGTTTTTGGGATGCACTCTTAGCAGCAACTGATCTCACGTAATTTTCGATTTGCTGGGGGCAATCTTGCAAGACAGCTTTTTTCATATAATTTCTTGTGATTAAACATTTTCTTATGCTTCTCACAGTAGCACAGATTATTTGTTTTGAGCTGGTTGGGGGTGAGAACACTCCCAATATTTCCGAATGAAAAATCATTGAGGAATATGAATACAATATTAAAAAGAGTTGTCTTTCTATTCATAATCAAATTGTATTCTATTTTTTTCAAAATGTAAATTCAAACCCCCTTTAGCAGAAAAACTGTTCAATTGGTAAGATTGTCACCCGATGATTTTCTGGAGAATTCAGCGAAATCCACCGAGTTTTTTTTCATTTGCACCCCCCATTTGGTGGGGGAGGGGGGGTTATAATGCAAAACTGCGGTTTCCGTAATTATTCCTGATGAAACATTTCCTATCACTTTTGACAGATGGAATTTTTTTTTCGGTTTTCAAAATAGGGGTTGGGTTTAATAATTCCCCCCTATTATATTTTTTTATGAAGAATCTATTTTGTAGAAGTAATTAAATGGAAATATCGTTCATTTTCTCAGAAATAAATGGTCAATTCGGTCAAAATGTGAATTCAAACCCTCCTGGCAAAAAAATGTCCATTTTTGGGGGGTTGTCTGAATGACAATATTTTATAGAACCACATGAACTACATCATACAAAAAATTGAGGATAATCCACCGGGACCCAATTTACCTTAAAAAATTGCGGGGTCCTTTCTCTTGAAGTACCTACTTACTGAATAACTTATTTTTTTTGTCAATTCCTCATCAGATAAAAACATTTTCTGAATTCATTCAGAAGCTGATGTTTGGGGAAATAACTTTTGGTATTTGGATTCCTTGGTAGTTTGCGCAAAATAAAAAAAACAACAAATAATTAAACATTATTGTAATCACTGGCTCATAATATGTGAGTACCTAAACAGTATTTATCAAAAGATTGATCACAAAAAATCATCAATAAGCTAACCAACAGAACTAATAGAAAAATAAGATTCTTTAAAAAAATAAAAGATGAATGTATAAAAGTACAAAATACTAGTAAAAAACACTGATCTCGTTTTATCAGAACAGAGCAAAAACACTGGAATGGATAGATCTTGGAGGTAAAATGTTAAAAGGAGAATCCACCATTAGGCACTTGGGTGGGAGTTGAGAATTGGATTTGGCCATCAGTTGAGTGGGGTGCAGGAACACTGTCATCAACCCCCGCCTAAAAAAAATCATTTTCATATGATTACTAGCTGACCCGGCAAACATTGTTTTGCTATAAACATTATTTCTAGAAGAACATTTTTAGATGAATATTCATCAGAAAACTTTCTTTATTTTATTTCTACTTCTTTTTAGTTTGTCAATCAATAAAAGCGGGATTCTTTAGTTTTTCAAACTACTCTATTTACTTTCAACTTCTTTTTAGTTCGGTACTCTATACCTCTTCAGTTTTTCAAACTACTCTTCATTTTCTACTCACTTCTTTTCAGTTTGACTATCTATAAAAAGGTGTTTCATTAGTTCTTCAAACTAATCTTTATTATAATAGCTAATACCCGGCAAACGTTGTTTTGCTATATACAATTATTTCTAGAAAATATTTTCTTGGTTGAATATTTATCAACATACTTTCATTATTTTGTTTTCTAATTCTTCTCCGACCCCGAAAACACCCAGATACAAATTTTGAATAGAATCGGATCATAATTACAAAACGCAGTTGATTGGATCCTCCATCTTTAATTTTCTAATTTTGATGAGGAATCATAATCTCCAATCCCAAAATCCCCCAGATAAAAATTTGGAATGGAATAGGATCATAGTTGCAAAATTCGTCTGCCATCTTGGATTTCCAAATTTTGATGAAAGAATCATTATCCCCGACTCCGAAAACCCCCCCGATACCAATTTTGCATAGAATCTGATTATAATTAAAAAACGTCCACCATATTGGATCCGCCATTTCGAATTTCCCCATTCTGACAAATGATTCATATCTCCGACCTCTAAAACCTCCAGATACCAATTTTGAAGAGAATCTGACCATAATTAGAAAAACTCGTCCGCCATATTGGATCCATTTTGAATTTCCAAATTTTGACGAATGAACCATATTCTCCTACCCCGAAAACCCTCAGATACCAATTTTGAATATAATTGGATCATAATTACAAAACTCGTCCGCCATTTTGAATTCCCGAATTTTGATAAAAAATCATAATCTCTGACCTCGAAAACCCCCAGATACCAATTTTGAATGGAATCTGACCATAATTACAGAACTCGTCCGCCATATTGGATCCGCCATTTTGAATTTCCAAATTTTGATGAAGAAATCATAACCTCCGACCTCGAAAACCCCCTGATACAAATTTTGAATGGAATCTGACCATAATTACTAAACTCGTCCGCCATATTGGATCCACCATCTTGAATTTCCATAATTTGACGAACCATAATCTCCGACCCCGAAAACTTTCAATTACCAATTTTGAACGAAATCGGATAACAATACTCGTCCGCCATATTGGATCCGCCATCTTGATTTTCGATTTAAAAAATAGATTACGACCGATTCTCATACCTACCGAATACGCACAAAAAATTCAATACGAATCGGTCGTGCCGTTTCGGATGAGTTCGACCACTAACACCCTGACCGGAAAGGAGAATTTTATATATTAGATGTTCCAGAACTGTCTTTGTTCTCAAAAGGTTTTCAATTTCATAAATGAAACAAAATTTGAAAAATCAAGTGTGGGTGAAAAAAGTTTACTTACGTCTGAGAAGTAATTTTCGATGATGTTTAGGGCCTTCTCGTATATTTTTTCATTATCATGGGACTGCAGAGCTTCGATGCCATCCAAACCGCCGCATTCCTCGATCATAATGGCGATTTTTTCTACTTCTCCCATCTTATTGGCGGCCTAGATGAATGTCAAATATATTTTAAATCATGGGACAAGTGAAAAAACATGGCAAAATAGAGAAACTTTTCAACTCCATGCCTCCGCAGAAAAAGAAGAACAGATATGCTCCTGAAGTTGAAATTTATATTTTCTTATCGACCCTCTCAAAATAATAAAATAGGTGCGCCCCTGAATTTGTGACTTCCATGGGGAAGTTTTCTATATTGAGGTTTTTATCTCACTGTGAGGTTTGTAACAAATTAATATATACGTATTTTTTCTTTTTTACGTAAGAACAAATTTCACTTCAGAAAAAAAAAATAGGAACTTGGCTCCTCCACCATTCCTATGACTTACTTTCTGAAAATCCACATTCACACAGAGAATTTTTCACTATCGCTATATATATGTTATCTAACAAGGGGAAGCTTTCGTGACTGTTCTATAATAATATTCTTGGAAATATTAGTGGAATGCAGTCTGGACCAATGAATCAATTAAATTTCTTCGTTATTTGTCGTCGAGCTTTCGAAAATTTTTATTTTCTTTATCAAGACTAAAAACATGAAATTCTATATAAAATTATTTATACACCTATGTTTCCTTTTTGTGCTAATTTTATATTGAATTTCATGTTTTTAGTCTTGATAAAGAAAATAAAAATTTTCGAAAGCTCGACGACAAATAACGAAGAAATTTAATTGATTCATTGGTCCAGACTGCATCCCACTAATATTTCCAAGAATATATAATGTTATCCATAGCTTGTCAGTCATTTTTTTGCTAATGAATTCGTTCCTTAATAAAACGGATCCATTTTCTAGGAGAGTTGCAGATTATATCTTGCAACAGCGCCTAATACTTCGAGTCCATCCCCACCACTCAAAATACTGACAGGCACAACAAGAGGACGGAGCCATGGGTGTCGGCTTCATTCTGTTCTGACCGATGACAGTAAATTTGGGATTGTATCAATGAATGTAGCCGATAGTGATTCATTGTACGTCATAGGAATGGTGGAGGAGCCAAGTTAATCTTTCATTAATTTTTTTCTGAAGTGAAACTTGATCTTACTAAAAAAAGAAAAAATATGTATACAGGGTGGCCCACGGTCGATGGTACCTTAGACGTATACGGAAAACGGTACATTGGATTATCCTGAAAATTTGGTTACTCTAATAAGCGTTTGTGATCTAACGAATCAAAATATTTTCAGCGATGCAGCGTTGCCACTTTTACCAAAAAGTAGCATCATCTTTGTTATTTCAAATCGAACACCTTGTATTTCATTGCGTTTTTAGATTCTTCTCGAAGAGCTGATTTCATCAATGTATCACACTTGGGGTCTAGCAGGAATTATTACAGAGATATAGGGTGTTCAAAATCGAGATTTTTCAATTTCAGGATTTTTTTGTGTCGAAACTATCAGACATAACCACAAATAAATTGATGGAAAAAGCGGGAACTGGCAGTATAGGTCGCGTGCACGATGACCGACCCTGGAGGCAAAATATTGAAACACAACGTCATTCTTCTGTGAATTATTGAAACACAACCTCACTTTTTTATTTGTTTACAGAGGAATCAAAGGATTGAAATAGTTTTTCACAATATTTTGGGATACGAATTGTGTGTTTTGCGCTATTCATTAATTCAAGCATGTCTTCGCATTGTGCTGTTGTACAATGCACAAAAAATGCAGCAAGAGACTAGGGAATATGATTTTTCAGGTAAATAGTAATCTCACATAGTTATCATTATGAAATGTTGTCATTCCTTATTGAAATTCCTTCTGCCTTCTGCCACTTCTGCAATACAAGCTAATGCTGGTAATAGATTGAAAATGTCTACAACACACACGATCGTCAGCATGTCTGACCAGTCCTACCGATTGATTGCATGAATCCAATCTTCTTGCATTATTTTAGAAATTTCAGGTATATTTCTATTACCTCATATTGCAGAAGGAATTCTGATGAGAAATCAGAGAAATAACCAAATTTCAAAAATGAAAACTATATGTGAGTGACTATAGTAGGTACTTACTTTTGAATCATAATGTACCATCCGGATTCCTTCATCTTCCGATGCAGTTTTTGTGCATTTTACAACAGCACAATGTGATGACATGAGCGAATTGATGAATAGCGGAAAAATACGATTTCTATGCCAAAATAATTGTGAAAAACTATTTCGATCACTTGTAAACAAATAAGAAAAGTCACGTTGTGTTTCAATGTTTTGCCTCCAGGGTCGGTCATCTGACAGTTCTTGCACGCGACCTATGATTTGCTTTGAAATCGTTTGTGGTTATGTTTGATTGTCGCTGGTTGTCTAGTGTCCGTACTCTAATATACAAAGAACGTCAAAACAGAAGTTTCAAGTACATGGGTCAAAAAGGTAAATCCCACTCACGTTTAGAATGTTGGCGAGCCCGTCCAACACGACCACCACCGTCTTGTAGTCCTTGGAGTTCAACAGGTTGCACATCGGCTTCAGCGCCCCCATCTCTACCAGCTTGGCGAGCTGGGCGATGGTACCGCCGCTGGTGTAGTTCGTCACCGCCCACGACGCCTCCTTTTGGCTCTTGAAGTCGCCGGTTTGGAGGACGTTGAGCAACGGTTGCATTATGCCGGCGTCGAGCACCTTTTGGATTTGCTCGCTGTTACCTGAACGTACACGAAATTTTGATGCCCATTTCTGATTCTCTTTCACAATCAAGATTCATCTTCCCCATGGTAAATGTACGTGCTCGCAAAAGTGAAAGTAGTAACATGTACGCGTCAAAACCACGAAAAAAGCAACTCGTTTTGCGTCACGCATGTGTCTAAAACGTGTATAAACAGTAGTTGTAAAAACTAGAGAATCCATTTTAGATATTCATTTTACTTGATTTTTCTCTCCTCGTTCTATAAAATAAAAATATTCGTATTATTTCAATATATTTGTAGTGGAACAAATCAGATGATTTGCCCCAAAATGTCACTGCGTTTAACAATTTTTCTATCAGGGAGTCTAAAAGAAAAATCCAGTAGCTTGTCAGTGACAATTTGTTTGAAAAAAATGTTTGAAGGAAAGAAATATACAGTGTGTCCCACTTACCATGCTCACCAAGGGTATCTTTTTAACGGTGAGAGATACGAGGTCGGTTAAATTACACCAAATGTGGGTTTTATCAAGGCCAACTATAATGTGAAAAAAATATTTTGATAAACTCTATTCGTTTTTGTTTTATACGCAAAAAACAGATTTTGATCATTTTCTTGTCTCCTCCGTAATTTCTTTATTTATGAAAATATTCAAATAGAAATATCACATTCTCATGGCAGTTTTTCAAAGTGATTTCGAAAAAAATATGAAATTTATACCAACTCTTCTAGAATTTGAGATATCAGCACCAACGTTAGTTTTTCAAATGTAGGTCATAGCTCACTATGCCTTAGTTACAAATAACTTTTTTTTCTCTTACAGATGATGTGTCGCAGTAATCGTTTTGTGTTGATAACAACAGAGTTATCGTCATTTATACAAAAACAAAAATTATTTGGAAGCCGCCATCTTGAATTTATAAATTTTAACAAAAAAATCATGATATCCGACCTCAAAAACCCCCACTCATCAATTTTGAATGGAATTGGACCAAATCTTGTCCGCCATCTTGGAGCAGCCATTTTTTTTAATTGATGGCGGACAAGATATGGTCCGATTCCATTCAAAATTGGTGAGTGAGGGTTTTTGAGGTCGGATATCATGATTTTTTTGTTAAAATTTATAAATTCAAGATGGCGGCTTCCAAATAATTTTGTTTTTGTATAAATGACGATAACTCTGTTGTTATCAACACAAAATTATTACTGCGACACATCATCTGTAAGAGAAAAAAAAGTTATTTGTAACTAAGGCATAGTGAGCTATGACCTACATTTGAAAAACTAAAGTTGGTGCTGATATCTCAAATTCTAGAAGAGTTGGTATAAATTCATATTTTTTTCGAAATCACTTTGAAAAACTGCCATGAGAATGTGAAATTTCTATTTGAATATTTTCATAAATAAAGAAGTTACGGAGGAGACATGAAAATGACCAAAATCTGTTTTTTGCGTATAAAACAAAAACGAATAGAATTTATCAAAATATTTTTTCACAGTATAGTTGGCCTTGACAAACTCCATACTTGGTGTAATTTAACCGACCTCGTATCTCTCACCGTTAACAAGATACCCATGGTGAGCATGGTAAGTGGGACACACTGTAGATATATTGAAAAAAATACAGAATCTTCACTTTGGACGTTTCGGGACCGAATCTGTTCCTGTTCTCAACATAAAAATGCAAAATATGTCTCTTTTGCCGCCATTTTAGATACAAATGTCCACTTGCGATATGTCCGGAAGTGATTTTCAATTGTCTTTTCAAGGAAAATTTTGGTTTTGAGGAACGTTATCTTCGATTCAAATGTCAAAATTCTATAACATTAAAACAACTGAATGACGTCCTGGCCAATGATTTTGTTGTCACACGGTATACACCCTGTTTAGCTCGCTGTTCAGTATCTATGATCTAAAATCTGAATAAAGGCGCCGTTTTTAAATGCCAAAAGAAAAAACGACCCTGTATTCTTATTTGCTTCCTCGTACTACTGATAGATTGTGTAATGAATAACGTATGGCATTACTCACCAAAAAATTTATAGGGATGATAAAGAAATATGAATCAGTTGAATGTTGAATCAGTTTGCGAACGGCTGTCGGTGGATGCGGACGCAGTAAAAATTATTGTCGTAATTCAATTAGTGAATATACGTTTTCGTTTCGTATACCAGGTGTTGTGCGAGTTCCAGTGCAGACTGGCAGTGAAATTATTGTGATTTGACAGTGAATTTACTTCTCCTTTTAATATACCAGATTTTGTAACAGGTTTAGTGTGTATATAATATAATACAACTGAGTTTTGTTGGTGTTTATTTCATGATGTGGTTAGGAAAAGTGAAGTTGAGTGAAACGTGAATCAATCGAATGATTTCTGTGTAGAATATTCGGCAGGATTTTGGATTTTTTGAAGGATGATGCTGCGACTATTAGTTGGTTCTGAAATAGTATATACCAAAAGTAAGTACCAAGATTTTGTAGAAAACCTTTCTCTATGGTGTTTGTAGTATACGGGGTATGTCACGACGAGAATCGAGAATCGGTCATAAGAAATTTATGAAACTGTGCGTGTTAATATTTGAGATTACGCTCTCTTCGTTCAACATATTTTCGACAATGCAGTGTTTCCGCTTCTATTGAAAAGTAGCAACAACTTTGTAATTTCAAATAGAATTTCCTGTATTTTATCGCATTTCATATTCTCCCTGAAGAGCTGATTTCATCGGTGCATCACACTTGGGGTCTAGCGGGAATGATTACAGAAATATATAGGGTGTTCAAAATCGGGATTTTTCAACATTAGGATATTTTCGTGTAGAAACTATCCATTATCGGTCAAAACGGCTTTCATGTCCTTATCCTCATTTCTGATTTACTATCTACTGACGTTCAATTGGAACAGATACAGGGTGGTTCGAGACTCAGGATTCTGATCACCCTGTATCTGTTTCAATGGAATGTCAGTAGATAGTGAATCGAAAGTCAATATAGGGGGCATGTAAGCCGTTTTGACCGCTACAAAACAATTGTAAAGTTGGAAATTCTCGATTTTGAGCACCCTATATATCTCATAATTCATTACCGCTAGACCCCAAGTGTGATATATCGATGAAATCAGCTCTTCAGGGAGAATCTGAAATGTGAAATAACAAAGTTGTTGCTACTTTTCGATAGAAGCGGGAATACTGCATTGTCGAAAATATTTTACACGAAGAGAGCGTAATTTCAAATATAAGTATGCACGAAGAGGAAACAACTCATTAAAAATAGGTGTACACCATAGAATTTTGAGTACTTCAAGTATCATTTTCAATACCTACATTAAGTACAATTTCATGAGCTTTCAAGTCTCGTTTTAAGTACTTCAGTATTTAAGTACCTGTTAACAGTTAACCTTAAGTACCAGTTTTAAGTATTTTAAATACTTTTTAATTGCCAGATATTCAAATATGGTGTACACATTTTGGGTAGTTGTTTCCCCCTCGACATTTTCATAAATTTCTTTGTCATTCTCATTTCAGACACTGCCGTGCGTTTTCTCCTGCCATTTCAAAAACAATGTCCACTTATGAGATGTCATAGAAAAGAAATAAATTCTTGACCTGGGTCTATTTCCGGTAAAACGGGAAGTAAATTTCAATTGTTTTATTAAGGAAAATATGGGTTTTGAGGAACTATATACAAGGTGATCAGTTAAGGGTAGCGAGCGGCCATATCTCATAAGAAATTGGTCCTATAGATTTGAGAGAAAAAAATCATGATAAAAGTCACCAAGAGAAATAGCTGGAAATTATTTTCGAATTTGTCAAACGTCTGGTAGAGGGCGTAACAACCAACACCAAGTAGAATAATGGGATTTTTATAGAATTTTGTCTTATGAAAGTATGTCGATGATATCATTTTCATATTAACTGACCATCTCCCTACATTTTTTGTCAAAAACGTTTTGTTCTAGCCATCAAGATAAAGCGGTGGGGGAAGTTCAATTGTTTTTTCAAACCAACCAAGATTTCTTCCGTTTGTTTCGACCGATTTTAGCAAACTCAGGGTGATATGAAAGAGCATAATTTGCCCTACAAAACGCTTATTTGGTTTGGAATTTTTGGCTATTGCTGTCGCCGCTAGATGGCGTTAACTGAAATGTCAGCAAATTTGTGAATTTTTTTCAAAAAAATCAAATGTAATGGCATATAAATTTTCATGTTTTGAAAGAGGATAGATACATCTATAATTTGATGAGAATAATTTATCATCTACCTTTTTTTGAATCGTTGCTATTGACCATAATTGTTTTTTATCAAAATGAAAATCAGTTTTGAAATTCATCATCTTTCAAAACATAGAAAAATTTATATACCATTACATTTGATTTTTTTGAAAAAAACTCAAAAATTTTCTAACATTTCAGTTAACGCCATTTAGCGGCGACAGCAAAAGTCAAAAATTCAAAACCAAATAAGCGTTTTGTAGGGCAAATTATGCTCTTTCATATTACCCTGAGATTGCTAAAATCGGTCGAAATAAACGGGAGAAATCTTGGTTTGTTTGAAAAAAACAATTGAACTTCCCCGACCGCTTTATTTTGATAGCTAGAACAAAACGCTTCAGACAAAAAATGTAGGGAAATGGTCAGTAAAAATGAAAATGATATCATCGACATACTTTCATAAGACAAAATTATATAAAAATCCCATTTTTCTACTTGGTGTTGGTCGTTACGCCTTCTAGCGGACGTTTAACAAACTCGAAAATAATTTCCAGCAATTTCTCTTGGCGACTTTCATCATGATTTTTTTCTCTCAAATCTATAGGACCAATTTCTTATGAGATATGGCCGCTCGCTACCCTTAACTGATCACCCTGTATACAGGGTGTCCCTGAAAGGTCTGAACAAAATCTCAGCACATACTCCTGAGGTCAAAATGAGCAGATTTAAAGTAACTTACCTCAGTCTGAAATTCCTCCATTTCCGAGATACAGGGTGGTGAAGTTAAAAATAAAAATCTAATTTTTCGAACTGT